GAAGTTCTTGTTTAGTTATTGACATTTTATTTGATTATATGGTGTACCAGAACAACAAGAAATTCTCATGCACCTGAAAGATATACAGGTGGATCCTCCTCTGGCCCAGCTGCAATTATAGCTTCAGGACTATGTTCTGCTGCACTAGGAGCAGATGGTGGAGGTTGTGAAAATTTATATCTTTTGGACTTTCTCCTATTCCTTTTTATTTAACATTATTGATGTTCTTCCCTTTAAGGGAAAAAAGGCAGGCTTCATCCGCAATCCTTTGTTTCTTTATGGTGTAGTGGAATTAAAGACAACTTATGGACAAACAGATATGGAAGGGTAAGTTCACTTTGTGAGCTAAATTCTTATTAGTTACTGCCTTACTGGTATTCTGCAGTGTTTTGTTATGGTGTAACCACAAATTTGACTTATTGTCACTGTTCTCATTATGGAACTAACATATCAACTGTATGTTTCTTAAACAAGCGTTGTTGATAATGCTTCCTGTATGTTTGAAATTCTTCATCTACAGGTCACTTTGTGATTCTGGGACTGTTAAAATCATTGGACCTATAGCATCATCAGTGGAAGATGTTATGCTGGTGTGAGAATCTCATGCTTATAGCAGGTTCTTGCAGTTATCATAATCCATGTGTGTATTTTTTCAAGGTTGTTCAGTACTTCAGTGTGGTTACTATCTTCAATTATTTCCTATAATTAAGTCTGTTTGGAATAGATACATATCTGTTCCCCTATAAACATCTCAAGAATTTTAGTCTTATATAACATCAATCTCAACTTTCATGAGCTCATCTGTTTACAAAGATCTAATGCGAAACCTTTTGTTCACAACCTTAACTGTTTGAGAGAATTTTCTAAATCTCCAAATTTCATTATGTTGTGCTTGAGTTTCATTTTCTTTGTCTTTCTACGTATGCTGTTGGTTTTCAAGGTATGCTGCAATTTTGGGCTCCTCTCCTGCAGATAGAATCAGCCTTAAACCGGTAACTTTACCTTATTAGTTGTCAACACAATACTCTTAGTGTTATATCTTTTCTTAATTAATCATGCTTGAAGTTACTCCAAGTTGTTGAGTTTCATAATTGCCATCCTTCATTTGTCCTTTTCTTTTTGCAGTCCCCACCATGTTTGCCTTTTGTTGGATATCTGTACATAAATTCTGTAGCCTAACTGTGGAAGCATCCATATAAATATAATGATTAAAACTACTACTATTTTCTGCTTGCAGTTAATCTGACTTTTGTGATGTTAATAGGACTGAAAATGGTTGCCTATCTCTTCTGAATTTCGCAGGAAAGGTGTGAGATTATCATACGATAGTCATACTAATCCGGTGGTTTTCTGATCATTCACTGCATCAGACTATATTGCTGCTCAATGTCTTAGGTGATACAAATTTGATTCAGTACCTTGCTTCGAAATATTTGATTAGCACAGATATGAAAACTTAAAACATTGGTTTCAGCCAAAGCTTCTAGAATATATATACAAATTGCATGCTTCCAAAAATTATATACTATGGTTAAGAAACATAGGTTCTTCCCATATATCGACTTGAATGACACTGGAAAACTATACTGATTTAAATCCTACCTATAAAATTTGCGCACATGTGTTGCTGATGTTTTTCCTTTGTCCTTTGGTTTGAAATTGTAGGATTTTGTTGCTTACAAGCTACCATTTGATTTGATTTGTGTGAACCTTTCAGGCAAAGGTTAACGCACTACCATATGGAGATTTTCAAGAGCGTCAATGTCATAGTGACCCCCACAACAGGGTATGGAAGTATAACCATTAACAGGGTTAGTGAGATGTATTGTCTACTAGTAGTCATCTACAGAAATAAACTCTTTGTTCATGATTTGCTGCTGCTGAGTTTTGATTATCATGCATAAATTACATCTGAGACTATCTATTTGTTTACCTATTTACTGATGTACGGAGCTTTCTTGTGCAGAAAAGCATGACCGCCCCAAAAATTTCACCTAGTGCTCTGCAGCTTGGTGAGACAGATATGCAAGTCACAGGTCTGTTAATCAACCATTTTTTGTACTTTATATATGTAAGGCACTGTTTGCACAACCAAGAGCCCCACGATTAAACACCTTTTTGTATAGGCAGATTCTTTCCTGAAACTATTATTGACTCTTTTTCTTCCAACTCATGACCCGTTACAATGTATGAAGTTGAAATTCTGCTTTGAAATCTGCAATAGAAATCATTCATGAATGGCTCCCTTGTTCAGGTTATCTCATGCTGTTTATTGTTGATGCATATCTTTTTGGTTTTCCTGTTTTTTTCTTTTTTTTTGAACAAGGGCAATTACAGGGGGAAAAGGGAAATGGGCCAACCCATGAGCTGAAAAAGCATCAATGACCCATAAGTCAAGTGTAAAAATTCAAGTAATTGATGAAATTTGAACTTTTTACCAACCCTACTAAAGTATTAAGATTTCAGAGCGAACCATTAAATCTCGAACTCACTGCCAATTCTGTTCCTATAAGCCCTCTCTCTCTCATTAGTTGTCATATGTTTTGACTTTAACTTTGAGGCAATGTTGAGATCAAGAACTTACATG